CCACAGAGGAATTTGGAATTTCCGAAGAGTTGGGGGGTCAGAGAAAGGACAAAAATTACAGAGTTTGTATGGAAGAAAAATGGAATTTCTGGGGGGTAGGGGGGTGTCTTAAAAAAATTCCTCCGTGAGAGGGGTATGGATAATTTTTGGAACTACACATTCTTACAAAACGTTTTGTTTATATAGCAGCAAGTAGGAAAATCTCAAATCCCAAACACCCTGGTGCCATCAGAATACCATATTGTGAAAAACCCAGGAGTACTGGGGTTGGAATTCTATGATGAGTAAGTTAGTACTAGACATCCTCACACCTATATTCTTAAATTAAATTTATGCAAGTAGATATACGTTRATCTTTTATGGCTTTAGTTAATGCTTTTTCTCCTTAATTTATGCTCAAATGATATGTTTTCTGAGATGTTTCCTGTCTTTATTTTAAAGAAATTAAAGAAATGTGTTTTGCTTTTTTTACAGTAAGTACTCAACCTACGTGAATGACCACGAGAAGCACCTTACTATCTTCCCCTCAATGTAAGAACATCTTGTAACTAGTGAGATGCTTTTATATCTGAATAGATAAATGAATGAATGGATGAATGAATGAATGACATAGACATATATTTATTTTTGGTACCTGAATGTTTACATTGATCAAAGGTATTTAAAAAAAAGAAATTGTTCAGAACTAAGGTACAAGCTATCTAAAATAACTAAAAAGTTAATCTAGTTAGACAGCTATGGATGCATGGATGGATGGATGAATGAATGGATAGATGAATGAATGAATGAACTAATGAATGGATGAATGAATGGATGAATGAATAAATGAATGAATAAGGTATGATTTCAAAAATTGTCGTTTTGTTGTTTGCTCACAGGAAACCAGCAGGAAGAGGTGAAGTACTAAAACTCAAGGTGGGTTCTGCAACAACCATCATTCCTTACTTATACAAAGCAATGGGAATTAGTATTAGGTGACTCCCTTTTGAGAGGGCTTGCTCTTTCATCCTATCTTACTCCCATTCTTCTTTCAACACCCTGCAATTTGCAATTTTTTAGGGTATGTTTTTTGATTATTTTGATGAACAGCTGTTCTAAATTAAACTGCTATGATTTTTCAATTCATTTTCTAATATTTTTAATGTTTGTTGCTCATTTGTAGCATACTATGGATTCGTTACTGTCTCGTGCAGGAGTTGATGACATGGATAAAGAATTAACAGGACCCACACAGGTAATTCAATTTAATTTTAACATATCTTTGCAGCAGCCAAGACAAAGGACTAAAGACCAAGGAGTACTGCAGTGGAGGATTCAGGAATTTTAGGGTGGGGGGGGGGGGGACTATTACAAAGATTTTACCAGGAATGGGAGGAAAACAGGGAAAAGTTGGGGAAATACTGCCCTTCACGTAGGACCCCTGGATCTGCCCCCGTACCATAGTTATTATGTTGTTTAAAAGTTTATGTAGATTATGAGATGCTGTTCACTTGTCATATTCTAATTATTTTCTGGTTTCAGATTCACAATCTTCTTGAGCTGGTTAAGAAAGAGCAAAACATCTACAACSTTTGCTTCAATGAAATCATAAGACAGGTACAAATACAAAAATGACTCTGCTAAAAAGATTGTTTTTCGCTGTAGCCATAGCTACAAGCCATTTCACTGTTGCATAAAGAGATTTCAGTATGGGTGGGAAACGCATGTTACTGACTTACAGCACGTACACAGTACAACTTGCCGTAACATTGAAATGGCTTCCCATAAGAATGGTTATCGTATGAGTGGAATACATACAGTACTGACTTACAGTGCATACACGGAAGTTACAGCCACGGTAAGAAGTGGTACCACAATATGCGATACCACGAATGTCCTATACTGTTTCCCATCCATRAAAAAGCATTGGATGGCTCACTCAACTTATCATTCTATTTTTTCTTTGCTCCAGGTCACGATAGAATGCGCCGAGAGAGGTGAACTCTTGGCCAACGTTAGAAAAAGATACAGTGATTTACTGGATCGTGTACCAAGACAAGTCAAAAGGTATGGTCTATGATCTAAGATWTTTTTTTTTCAAGCTCATTAACTTTAAGATAACTTTTGTATAATTTGGAAGGGATATTTTCTGTAGCACTATTTTATTCAGGACTACTTTTGATATTCAAATTTGTGAATGAGTATCCCAGATACAAAGTAAAGCGCATCATCTTATAACAATGACGATGGTTTTTCTTTCTTTATCTATTTCCTTGCGACGCATGTGCAGTCATCTTGAAGCCGCACAATTTAAGGCACAAGACTAAGAAAGCAAATGCAGCGTAAYGCAAACCATTTTCTTTTCTTTAATGAGGAATTGCTTTATTCGTCTACCTCTAAGACCTCAGGATCAAAAAAGTTGCTTGAAGCATTTCAAAGCTAAAATAAAGTCCCGCTTTTGTGACTTCGTGCGCAATGCATACTTCAACTTGATTGATACTGTATGGTTGTTGACCGGATTTATACACAAATAACGTTACTCAATCAAGTGCCTACTCTTTACCGGATGGATCATGACCCTCTATTATTCTTTTATTCTATTTCATTAGCTTGCATCAAGAAGTTATTGCCCAAAGAGCTCTTGACAGGTATGTTTCATTTGAACTACTGTACATGTACAGACCATTTCGTTGTGAATCTTGGTGATGTTCAAATATTTCATTTGGRTCATACATTGTATCTTATATTTGGCAGGCGGTTAACTGAAGAACTGGTTCGATTCAAGGCATCAATAAGTACACTGACAAGGTAACTAAACCTGTTATGACCTGTTTGAAACTCGCCTTCTGACTTTTACGCTGTTATTGAAACTGGTTATAACCTCTTTAACCTGTTATGATTCTGTTYGCAGCGAATTGGCATCAGTCAAGGCTCATGACAGAGAAGTCACAAAACAAGCTATTGAAGCACAGAAAGAGGTGAGCCCGGATGAGCTACTAAAAACACAGTAACACTGGGAAAATTGGGTACACGAGGGAAGTCTAGTACCATTTTCCAGACCTTAATTTTAGTCTATCCCAATTCCAGTCAAATTTTGGAGAACTCTTATTTTGGCAACTTTATTTTTTATCCTTTCCATACACTTAAATCCCAGCCCAAATGAAAAAAAAAATCCAGTGGAAAAATAGGAGCGTCTTTGTTCTATTTTACTCCTTAAAGCATCTTTAAGGATCTAAATATTTTTAGGGTCTAAATCTGGGTCTAAATATAGGCGTTACAGATGCGCACTTTTAGATAAAACATTTATCAATTTTTCTTCCATTCGTTGTTTCGTTTGTTGTTAATCTGTTGGTATTTGGTTTATGCAGCTTGAAGAAGCTTTACTTGAATCAGAAAAGAATGCCAGGTAATATACTAATTCTGACTGAAAAGAATATATGTGCAAGGGTTGAGATTGAGTCCTGCTACATGAGTCTTTCTTTTTTTTTTTTGAGTCTTTTTTAAAATTCCTTTTAGGGTTATTGCTTGGGCTGTCTCTGCTCCAAAAATGTAGCGTCGTATTTTTGGAGTTGCGTATATCATTATGGGTAAAGGGAGGGGTAGAGAAAGGTTGTAAGGGGCAGGGGATATTAGATTATAGGAAGTAGACAATAGTCTCAATTCTTAATCATACAATCATAGTTGGTTTATATTTTAGTCTTTTGACAGAATATCACGATCTGTATGAATTACAACGTAAAAGGCTTGAGACGCAAGTTGGCAAGTTGACAGAAGAGCGGGACCTGTGGGGAAGCGCAGCCTACACACTAGCTATGAAAGTTACCAAAAGACACTCATTAAACACAGCCAAAACACTGCATCTGTCTGAGAAGGCCTGGGCACGACTAGCAAGGCATTTCACTATCTTCTTGAGTGAAAAGGATAGCATACAGGTTGGTTTCTTGAAATATTTCAATATTTCCATCGTTTTTTTTATCAACGAGATCAATACAATGTTCACAAATAAATTGGATTCTGGATTCAAAGGAGTGGGGAATCAGAAACTCAGAATCCAACACTATTTGCCTATTTTTGTTAGTTTGAGAACGAAGTGCATTCTGCTCTGGTTTTGGTGCAAACAACACTATATAAGGCGAGACGACCAAAAGATACCCGAGCTAGACCAGAGTGCATCACTTTGCTCGATCAAAAACATTCTACTGAAGCAAAAATTATACTGTCAACTATGCTGAACTATTATTATTCCTGCTCCTATATTTTATCTTTAGCTCGAAGCTCTAACGGGGCATGTACAGCTTTGGCGGGAAACCGCAAATCGTTATAACAAGCAACTTGAGGTATCGGAAGAAGAAACTAAAACAAAGGTACGAACCAATCGAAATTTAGATTAGTGAAGATTTGAGTTAGACCACGGCACGGTTCAGATTGACGTCGCCTCATTAATCCAATCGAGGCGCGGCATACGTGAATACTCTATCAAACTAGACTAGACTAAATCTGGAATGGGGTAGATTTTCGTAGAGTCAGGCACGACACGGTCGCGGTACGGATTGACGTTACCTCATTAATCCAATCAAGGCGCGGTATACGTGGATACTTTATCAAACTAGACTAGACTAAATCTGGAATGGGGTAGATTTTCGTAGAGTCAGGCACGACACGGTCACGGTACGGATTGACGTTACCTCATTGAGCCAATCAACGCGAGGTATACGTGGATACTCTACCAAATCCAGATTAGAGTAAATTAGGACTGGAGAGGATGTTCGTAGAGTGAGACCACGACCTTATTGAACCAATCATGGCGTGGTACGGCATGGCACGGTACCCTCTATAACTGATGCTTACAAATTTTATTAGTTGAATAGATTGGTTGATCAATGGACGCGATGGAAAAAAGAATTCGAAAAAGTAGTCAAGTAAGTCTTTTCTATGCGATTCTACCTTTGGTCTTTATATTAAAAAATTGAGCTTATGACTCGTGTGAAATATAGCGGTGAGAGGCGAGCATTTTACCGCTGCGCTAGTGGAACGTGATAAGAGAAGCTCATAAAGTACTTGAATGTAAGTCTTCATATTTCGTCTAAAAGTAATTCGACGAAAAACATATCTGAGTAAGTGAAATGTGAAACTGCTGTTTCTGGAATGACCGCCCCCCCCCCCACCCCTCCCCTCACTCAAACTCCTAGATTCGTGGCCCTCTGCGCTATCCCAACCTTCTATTCCTACCTCAGTGGATGCATAAATCTTAATATGAAAAATGAATCGTTCCTTATGTGATTATTTATTGTTTAGCTATGACGACGGAAGTGTGACTCCACCTACCCGCCAATTTGTAACCAGACTGCGTGAAGACCTCAGAGGCTGGGAGGAGATATTCAACGAAGAGGCTGAACGATTCACTGGGGATGTTCTCCTGGCGCGAGAAGAAGAGCTGCATCAAATGAATAAACAAGTTGASAAATGGACTGATGTTGCTATGAAGGTAACCCGTTCAAACGTTTTGATTTTATTGATGCTCTGAAGTAAACTCTGGGCTGATCTAAGTCAGGGCACGGCTAACTCACAGATCAAACCCTGAAACAACCTCTGGGCTGATCTAAGTCAGGGCACGGCTAAC